GTGAGTTGGGGCCCCCGCGCTTAGGGGAGGGGAGGGTGGGTTAGAGCTTTGGAGGGGTGGGGGAAAGAGGGATATGGTGTTTTTGAGTACGGACAGCGTATTGTGCGGTTTAACAACCCTAGACCGCGTTTTGGGGTGTAGCGTTTTCGGGTGTAGAAATCAGCATAGATCAGCGGAGGGGAGTTACTATGAATAGGGTGTGTGTGTGTGGCTTTGCTGAATTGGGCTATGTTTTCCGTTTCTCGATTTCAATTCCAGTTTGACTGTTTACACACCTTTATGACTTTCACTGCATACATACAAACACACACAGTCACACAAGCATATGCACACACACACACACATAGAAAACACAATTTGGATCGCCGTACAATTTTGCATGGCTTCCAGGGCCCACGGAGTCGCCACATACCCCCGTCTCCCCCCCTTTCCTTCTTCACAAGTCACGGTGACTAGTTAGTTTCTTCTTTCGTACTTCTGACAACGTGGCATCAGTCTTCTTACTTCTCGACATCCCCACGAAGCCCCGATCCCACAAGTCGGGGTTGGGGGTTAGCTCCTTCTTTTCTTCCTTCTGCTAGGGTGGTAGTGGTATCAGTCTATGTATATTCTTGGCATCAGCTTCACTCGTTCACGTGGTTCGTCTCCCCCCCCATTATCCCTCCTCATCCTCGTCTATCGTCCCTCTTCTCCCCCTCCCCACTTTCCCCCACTTGGGCTCCCTCCCCCCTTTACCAACCGCGTCGTGCCATGTCCTGCCAGGGAGGAGCGGGCAGTGCACCAGCGGCCAAGAAGGTGCGATAACCCCGGTGTGTGTGTGTGGGGGGGGGTCGGGGCGCGTCTGGGGGGATAGCAGAGAGAGTCTCTCAGGGTTCGACACTGACCTTCCTGAAATTTGCGGGCTCCCCCGTACCTCCCAAATTTTCCTTACAGAGGGGCCCCCGTACCAGGCTCCTGTACCGGCCGAAAACCTTACGGGGGCCCCCTTAACACCCGCAAAACCTTTACGGGGGCACTGTCCTTGGCTGAAACGCTGTGGAAAGTGACGCTTTGCATTATTTTGCCCTGTAAATCGTTATTTTCGTTATTTTCCCGTGAACCATTACACACGGGGACACGGCACACTCAGCGAAAGCCAAGCGCCTTGGCCGCCGCGGCCGCCCATCCCTTCTGCTCCTCTTTCTCGTCCTCCTCATCATCAAAATCCTCATCCACGCACGACTCATCGGTATCTCGTTCTACGTCGGTCTCGTAGTCACTGTCACTAAAAGCCTCATCGTCACTAGCGGGGTATGTTGCTTGTACAAGTACTTCAATCTCTGGGTCAGTCGCAACCTCCTCGTTATCATCCTCTCCGTATGGATTCAAATTAATTTTGCTAACGTCAGAAAACAACTTGTGAATAATGCCTGTATAGCCCTTACGCGAGTAGATCTCAGCAGCCTGGTCAATCAGTGGCTTCACCCCGGTATCAGCATCAGGTCCCAACATCCCCACACGAAGTAGCGAATCAGCTTTAGCCGGTTCGTCAGGCGATTCTTAATAATACGATGCCGGCTAAATCCTCGCTCAATGCATGCCGTCTGTTTTGGCAGGATTGTAGCGACTTGAGCCAAACACATCATACACGGAAGGACTAGGCTTTGGGACGCAAACTCACCCACGCTGCCTCCCAAGGCACCCTGCCAAGCGAAATGTAGTAAGCAAGACGTGCCTTCATGACATTGAGCTCCTTTAAAACGTTCGGCAACTCATCGTCCGTAGCTTGCTGCTGCTCAGCCTCCTGAGTGCAAGGCTCCGTAGAGCCAAGCTCCCCAGGAGCATCGTTGGGGTTGCCTGTAACACAAATCGTTCGGTCAACTTTCAGGCCTGCGGTTCTTGTCAACCAGCTTCGAGTCCCTACCCTACCTTCTTTGCAAGGCTTATCATCTACTTTCTTTGTGAGAACAGGTTGGCTTGCAGGCTTCCCACCTGCGTCCGGACCGAACATGAGAACGGCGAGGAGTGGCTACAACCAGCTCCGTTCCCACAATAGATGAGCGAGCTTACCAGAGCCCGATAGGTCCGACAATTTTAAGGTGGCGCGCTTCTTGGAGGGCGGTGGATTAGGAGGCCCTTGGTCACCTCCTGACGAAACCAAAGTCCCTACTTGTTCATTATTTTAATGATGAAAATGATGCCTTCCCCTTCGGTTCCCCGTTAGGGGATGAACAAACTTGTTCCCCATCACCTAAAGGGTAACAAAGTGTAGTTAAATATTGCAATATGAATTATGTCTGCCAAGTGTGTGGCCTTATCCTTTATATGGTCCGTCCTCTCCCCTACAGGGCCCCGTACGGCCTCTTATAAATCCTTAAAATCCTTACGGGAGCCACCGTAACCGGCCTTCGGCCGGTCCGGGGGCGGCCCCGTACGGGGCGCTTCGGCCCCAAAATCCTTACGGGAGCCACCGCAAAGTCCTACGGGCCCGTACGGGGATACCGAAAAAAGGCCAAAAACTTACGGGCCCCGTACGGGGTGTCGAACCCTGAGAGAGACCCCGACCCGGTGTTAGGGGCTCCTTCCCCGACATCACCCCCGCCACTCCCTTCGTCCCAGACCCTAATCGTCACCTGAGCCCTAATCGGCCCCCACTTGGCAATGTAGACGCCGGCAGACGTATGTATACTATATATGTATCCCCCCAACACAGACACACACACACACACACACACACGCTCGCCAACATATTTCCAAACACCTCAACCCGCCGCCACTCCACGCACCCCGCACTGACCCCCCCCCCATCCCCTACCCCGCCAGTTTCATGGCGGCCGCGAGTGGGACTACGTGTTCGATGTGGATGTGGCTGAGGGCATGGCCCCCCTCAAGTTGGCTCTGAACCGCGGAGACAACCCGTACCTGGTGGCGCAGCGCTTCATTGGGGAACACGACCTGCCGCCGTACTTCACGGAACAGGTGGGGGAGGG